TTACCCGACACGTTGGTCCTTAATGCGCCTTTTCGGCACATATTACCGACGCGATATGTACTTTAACAAATATCGCATTCTTAAGTAAAGTTCTAAACAAACATTATATAATAAAAGGAAGATAATAATTACCCTGAGTATGCGTGTGTTTATATAGTGAAATGGGATTGGAGATTAAAGTGCAATTATTAAAAATCATGTATAAATATGAAAGAGAGATTTACAATTTAGGTGGATCGACTGTGGTATATATTACGCAGAACATAGCTCTGGTCGGACGATTAATACAAAACATTAATGCATATATGCACAGAGAACTAACATAATGACTGTGACGGCGACAAATAAAAACTATAACGTTAAAAAGACTTTAAGATTAGATTTTTAATCTGTGAATGAGAATCCGAGAATGCTATGAACTTAAGAAAATTATCAAGATTTTTCAAAACTGCTAAAAGAACTGCGAGGTACTGCTCGAGGAGCAAGTAAGTAGAGTTTTTATAGGGAGAATTTGATAAGTAGCAGATGACGATTGCCAATAAGAACAATTCTCGTGAATGTGAGATGTGGGGGATTGGAAAAGTTATCGATAAGTTTTTAAAAAGTAGATGATGACAACCCTCCAAACGTAGGAGACAGATATTGATCACTCCTAGGATTGGAGAGATGGACCCCAAACGGACCCCGTTTTGTTTGAACGCATCTTTCTTTAGAAGGAAAAGTGGATGAAGGTTGTACGTGGTCCTTAAAATGCTAACAGCCGTAAAAGCTCACTCAAGACGTGAGGGTGAGAGGGAATCGCTGCGTTTTCGCGCTTTTTTTGGATGAGAAGGGGGAGAAATGATTCTAATGTAGGGTTGAGGATGAGTGCGTAAAGCTTATAACGGAAAGTTTGGACGTTGCACGATTTGTTTTTCTAGGATCGTATGATTTTTTCTACTCTATGATCACGGCATTTTACTTTACACTATTTGCAGACGGACGTTTTGGGAAACCACAAATGTATCTGGTGGTGCATTATCGAGATCTCATAAGCAAACTTTGGGTCTATGTTTTATAACATGCCATTTTTCCATATCCGGTTGGCCTCTTTGGCTATATTCTTAGTCATACAACAATTTTTATTACAGGGTATCGCTTGACAATATGCGTCTGTTTCCCATTGCAAGAGAGCAAAGGTTTGTAAGAAAGGAACAGAAGAAAAATTCATTGTCCGTGAAGTACGCAGGGCGTAACAATATACGACATTGAAATGTGTAAACAATATTAATGCATAATTCGTGAATAAGTAAACATAACTATTCATATAAATAATTATTTCGGTAACTTTTAAACTAATATTCAGACAGGTTTCAGACATATTTCGGTAATCTTCCAGCACATTTTCAGGAAGGTTTCAAGGGCAAATGTTACGTCCTTCGTGCATTACAAACAATAATTTTTTTTTCTGCTCCTTTTTTATAAACTCTTATTCTCTTACATTGAGTAACAGACGCATTTGGCCAAATGGCACCCTTTAATAAAATTTTAATATAATTGTAATATAATTGTAATATATAACTAAGAATTGTAATATAAATGTGATATATAAATAAGAATATTGCCTAAAAAACGAACCGAATGCAGAAAACCGTTTGCCCATTATAAAACATAGACCCAAAATTTATTCATGAGATCTCTATAATGGTATAAAAGAATCTGCCGCGACTAGCTATAGAATCGGAAAGATCATACGATCCTAGAAAAACAAACCGTCCCACGTCCTAACTTTCCATCAAAAACTGATGCAACTTATCCGCACCCTCACATTTGAATCACGCCATATTTTTTTCCCCTCTCATTTGAAAAAAGTGTGAAAAACGCAGCTATCTCCTCTCGCCCTCATGTCTTGCGTGCTCTTTTATGATTTGTCAGAATTCCAAGGACCACGTTCAATCTCCACACTTTTTCTCCCAATGAAGAATATGTTTTTAAAGAACATAGGACTGGTCAATTTCTGTCTCATACATTTTAAAGGTTGTTATAACCTTCTCCTAAAAGACCTATTGGAAAACCTCGCTACCTCCCACATCTCCATTCCACGAAATATGATCTCATTGGCAATCGTCATCTACTATTTCTAAAAGTTTCCCTATAAAAACCCTACTCTCTTGCCGCTCTTTACACTTCTGACTAACTCGCTGTATCCTGCAGAATCAATATCGCATCGAACAATTTCATATAGTCTCTGAGTCTATCGCAATACCCCACGGTCTTTCCTTAGCAGATTTTACAAATTGTTAAAATATCTCAGCACGATACTTCGCTATTGTGTTTCGATACAATCGTCTCAAGTGCATCTGCCATCCAGCCAATTTTGTCTACAAATTAAGTCACGAGATGATAGCTCGAGTTAGCCCTCAGAGATCTCAGAAATTCAGTACACCTCGATCAACGAGTAAGTACACTGAACAATTAACATTTGTTCCACTCTATTTCCCATCTTTCCTTTCCTCTCAACTTTCCTCAATACCACAGTGAATACTCTGGAAAGGACAGGCGTCAGGTATTTGCATTAGCTGCTAGAGATTTCCGCGAGACTAGCGACGATACATTAGCAGAACACCTAAGGTGTATTTCGGAATTACCATCTCCGACGGAGAATTCACCTTCACCGACACATCGTTCCCCTCTAGCCCCTTCTTACTCACCCGACCCTTTCCTTTCTTCTGCTTGCCCGCTAAGATCCTCAATTTCGACACTTGATTCTCCTTATCGCTTACCTCCACGGTCTCCGTGGATCACACCTCCCATTTCCCCCGGACAACCGTGGTACTCAGTCCACCTTCCCGTTTCCCGTTTCCCGTCACCTGGACTACATACCCGATTCGTCCTAGTCCCATTCGACTCTTCCACCCTTATGTCATCAGACCTTCCTACCCCTAACTCATTACCTTTCCCTTAAAATCCAATACGCATACTTACACACGCACATACTTACATACGCATACTTACATTCATACACATTCACTTACCCAATTACATGTACACCATTATAAACTTTGTATTCATTCATTGTTTTATTCTGTAACTTACATCGTTAACTTATTATTATTTCAAAAATTTCCAAGATTGTTAGTCAATTTATATTTTATATTATTTTGAAACCTTCGAGTATTCCCCACACTTTCCCCAATTATTCCGCTCGCGGTCCCATAACAGGTAAAGGATTTTAGTACTTGAACCTAAATTATGACCACGTACCTGCGTACGTTCACAACGGAGTAAAGTGACCTTTCCAGTCTCTGACCTGTATCGCCGGCATACAAGTACGTTTAGGACTTACGTTTGCGAGTGCGGTTGTTGCGTTCTCTTCCAGGACGTAACATAAGAATCGCGAATATTTGGTTTTGCCAGAGCCATTTCAAAACTGTCTTAGAAGTATTTTGAAATGTTTCTGAAATGCTTCACATTTTCACATGAAACATTTCTGGAATATCTCTGAAAGATTTCAATATTGTATAGGAATTAACCAAATTATGAAATATGCTTGTTTTTCAGAGAAAATACGTTTTCCAGCGGCTTTTTTTAAATTTAGGTGTTAAAACTTATATATAGGATATTTTGACGTCGCTGAATACAAATCTGATGTCAAAATTAGAAGATTTTTAAAACCAAAAATGGCGGCCAAATTTGGCGGACTAAAATTGAAGCAAATCAAATGTGGTATCCAGAGAGCTCTCGGGTCGCTGATTACGAATCTGTGGTCAAAGTTGAAACATTACAAAATTCTAAATATTCAATATAAAATAATGTATCAAACATGCAAAAACTCAATAACTATGGCTTTTAAAGCTTCTGAATATAAATTATGAAACTTGATATTGCGAAAATGAATTAGAGCAATTGAAATGATCTACCGAATAGACAAAATCTTGCTTATACCAAATTTGAAGTGATTTGGTTGATTCGCTGCAATTTCGGCCCTCTATATTGGACACGCCATTTTAGATTTTAAAAATATTTCAACTTTGATATCAGAATCATTATCAGCAACTTCAAATGTTCAGAATCATTATCAGCAACCTCAAACTTCACTGTCTAACAAATTTGATAAAAAATAAACCGGAGAAAAAATGTGTGCTTCAAAAGGTTAACCACTAAGTTTGCATCGGCCGCGCGTAAGCCGCGATTATCGCATACATTTTCCGGCAGGTATGATGAAACAGAGTAGAGCACATTTATCATATTCACATTAATAACCACTTGTATTTATGTAAGATCTTATGTAAAATCATGTACAAGAAATATATTAGTGTGATCGTGTCAGTATTTACGTAACATATCATTTAAAATGTCGTCTTTATATTATCGATGTTTATCAATAGGATATCATTTAATATCCCCATAAATAGAATAATTTTTACACAAATGAAAGCACTGTATAGAAAAAATATGTATCGTAAGAAGTTATTACACACTCGTGTGCAATAGCAGATACGAAGAGAGCAGAGAATTAACCGCGTTGTGCTTACACGTAAAAGATATCACGATACGAGAGAATCTGAGAAGGCGGAATCAAAAACTAAAAATTATAATTCGTTGTCGTTTATCGTAAATGAATGCAGTGAAAAGCATTTTTTTCTTACATTGTACTTGAGAAAACCGCACACACCATAAATGCCCTATCCAGTAAGAAAGAAATCACTAACACAACATTATTATAATGATATTTTATAAAATGTAACATTTTCAAATAGTGTAGTTCTTAATGTTGTATACAACGTTACATACTGTTGATAATAGTTGACCAAAACATTAAGAAAAATGTTCCCACACCATAATTTTGATATTAAAAAATAATATATTATTAAGTAAGTTTAAAATGTTTACAAAATATGTCAAAATGTTTATAAAACTGACATAAAATCAATATTTTAAAGGATTAATTTAATATTTTATTTTTACTGGTCCTTTGTGCAATTGTGTGTCAACCGCGCTTAGCCCCTCTCTTCCTGCGTCTAATCTTTATCGCACCAGCCCCACAGTTCATGACTGCCGTCGCCCATCATCTTCACCTTCTTCTTCATCTCTTCCTTGGATATAGTTTTCATGTCGTACGCCCAGCCGATTATTGCGAAGAAATCAATATCGGTTGTGGGATTAAGCCTTTAGTCATACTCGAATGCTTTATTACGTCCCATGGGAAGTGGTAACAATTGTGCCAGCCTTCTCCTAAGGCTATTTTGGTAACGCCTATGTTTTTTGTTGGATTGATGTATCTATATCGGATAAGGGAGTAGGGCATTTTAATGAAAATTTCGCCATTTTTTACTCTCTTCCTCACAAAGATAAAAGATATGCAAGATGCCTTTCAATGCGACGAGGAAGCTAGCAAAGTAGAATTGAAAGATGAGAATGAAAAAGTTCAACGATGTTCTTCAAATAAAGCAATAAGGAAGCAAGGAAACAAGAATCTTAAGACGAAGAAGCAAAACGATATTCTTTAAGCAAAGCGGACGGCGTATAGAGAAGCGTAAGCGGTAAAGTTTAAGCGATAAATGAACCACCAATCGAGCGGTTAATTAACCAATCGCATTCGAGCACGTAGAATTATCCTGTTGAAAGTCTCAGGTGCGTTCGATCGATTCACTCATTGTTTAACTCTTGCTTCCCACATTTTTCGCGCTACAACTTTAAGAAGAAAGAATAAACGAAAGCCTACCGAATGTGAACGATCAGACAAATTCAAATGACGAATGTCTTCGCGCGAGCTGTAGTTCTACTAACTTGTCGTAAAGTTTGTTGCTATAGAGATGAGCCGCTGAGTTCATCAACCATGTCATATTCAATGTGAAAGTATAGCGAAGTACGGTGGCAACAAAATATGCGTTTGTCCAAGTCTCGTTCCAACATACAATTGGAGTCATGGTGGGAAGGTAAAGCATAGCAGAAGCATCAGCAATGAAATAATACCCGAAAAGAAGAAATTCATTCTATTCTATGAATACATGTTTGACCACGCNTCTCTCTCTCTCTCTCTCTCTCTCTCTCTCTCTCTCACTCCCTCTCTCTTTTCTCCACTCTTTTCCAGAATTCCCACTCAATTATAATAAATTTATAATACAAAGAAAGAAAAGTCACTTCACCCGTCCGCTACGCTTCGTAATGTCGACCTCAACCGATGGTCGGTCACCTATTTACTTCCTAACTGCCGTCGTTGTTTTACTTAGATGATGGGATAGCTAGTAATGGTTCTAATAACTCTGATGATACTTATGATATATATTTATAAACTATATTTATTTCGCTCACATATATACTCTCTTTATTTTCTTGACAAATAAGTAATAACTTATTTACTGATGGATATTAAAAACAACGCATCGGACATTATGCGATGGATATAATATTGAATATTCTGACGAACAATTTTTATCTTATAAACTATAGAAGATAGAACTAATAAATGTAACATCATATTACTATAAAAACTGATAAATGGTACATATTAAAATATTTTTTATTATTTGGGATGCTTAAAAATGTATGTTTTATTAAATAAATTTAAATATATATTATAAGAATACAAAGTTCTTTGAAGTAAAAAAAACGAGTAACGGGGGAATAAAAGCAAACACGGATGTTGGTATAAAATTAATATTAAGTTGTAAGATATATTTGTCCCGTTTTTAATGTTTATGAAATCTTTTATATGCATATTCTGAAATAAGTTCAATCAATTATATACGAGGGCGGTCCGATAAGTATTTAGCCTACAAAAGAAAAACTAAAATTTTGGAAAAGTGGCGATTTATTTCTCAACATATTCTCTTTTTAGCTCGATACACTTGACCCAGCGATGCTCCAACTTAAACCCATCTGAAAAATATGTTTCTCGAAGTCTGCAAAGGCCTTCGTGGCGGCGATGACCTCCTCATTCGAATCAAATTTCTGGCCGGCGAGTGATTTTTTCAAGTTTGGAAACAAAAAAAAGTCGCACGGGGCCAAATCTGGAGAATACGGTGGATGGGGCAGCAGTTCGTAGTCCAATTCGGCCAATTTGGCCGAATGAAAAGGTCATCGCCGCCACGGAGGCCTACTTTACGGACTTCGAGAAAACGTATTTTTCAGATGGTTTAAAGAAGTTGGAGCATCGCTGGGTCAAGTGTATCGAGCTAAAAGGAGACTATGTTGAGAAATAAATCGCCACTTTTCCAAAATTTTCGTTTTTCTTTTGTACTTTGTAGGCTAAGTACTTATCGGACTGCCATCGTATGTGCCATTTTAATCTATGATCTTTCTTCATTTTTCTAATAGCTGTATGTTTCCTCTCATGTAGAATTCCAGGGACTCGTTAGCTAAGAACTGATGTAAGTGATTTCGGCAGAAGTTAAAATTTGGTAAATTTATATGATTTAGAGAGTTCTCTCAAAGCTCTAAACAAATAATCTGAAGGTACGAGGTCGGGATTACATGGTGGATGCGCTAAAACTATCATAGTCAATTTGCAACAATTTTTTCCGAGAAATGTATGGAAATTTGTGGTCTAACATTGTCATGGTGAAACACAACGCTCTTTCTGTTAACTAACTGCGGCCTTTTCCTCTCAATTTTTTCTTTCAGTTTGGCTAATTGTAAGCAGTACGTAATAAAAAGTACGTAATGAAAATCAATAGTTTGGTTTAGTGGCAGCAGCTCGTAGTACACGATACACTTCCAATTCCATTATGCATATAGCAGGACCTTCTTTAGATGCAATTCAGCCTTTGCGATAGTCTATTGTTATAATCGCGCATTATTTTATTCTCCTTAGTGCTGCCGAACGCCATCAAGGATGTTTTGACCGCACTATGAAAGTGCACGCGTTGCAAGAAAGCTCCGCCTTGCATATTCCATTACATGGATTCAGATCGACATGTGCCCGCCCTATTGTTGCTAAGACATTCCCTCTTATGGAAATAATTTATCACTATACACAAGGACTGTTCAAAAAGTATCGCGAATTTTGAGTTTTTTCAAAAATTATTTATTTATTCATGAATATCTATTTTGTCTCCTTCAAAGTAATCCCCATAAGATATTATACACTTGTGCCAACGTTTTTTCCAATCCTCGAAGCATTTCAAAAAATCACTTTTTGTGATCTAGTTCAGCTCCTCCTTCGATGCCGTCTTTATCTCCTCAATCGTAGCGTAGCGTCGTCCTTTCATGTGCCTCTTCAGTTTCGGGAAAAAGAAAAAGTCACAGGGGGCCAGGTCTGGGGAATACGGTGGCTGCGACATCATTAGTGTGTTGTTTTTGGCCAAAAATTCGCGCATGAGCAACGATATATGAGCAGGGGCGTTGGTACGAATTTCGCGGCGACCAATCTCATGCCCAAATCATTAGTAAAAATCGAATGGCACGAGCCAATCGATATGTTTAGGTCCTCAGCAACTTCTCTAACGGTGATTCGACGATTGGCCAATACTATTTTCTTCACTTCATCGATGTTTTCGTCTGTTGTTGACGTGCTCGGGCGTCCGGCACGCTCTTCGTCGTTCACATCTTCTCGGCCCTCTGAGAACATTTTGTACCACCGATAAACATTGCTTCAGTTCAAGGTAGCTTCACCATATGCCGCAGTCAACATTCGGAATGCGTCCGCGCACTTAATTTTGTTTTTCACACAAAATTTGATAGAGATTCTTTGATCCATTTTTTGGAATAGGCAAAAATCGGAGACGAGACAAAACACGTCCAAGCAAAACAGTTGTCAAAGATAAATTGAATATTCAAAATGGCCGAACTTGTCGGCATAAGTGAGGGATATGAGTACCAACATAACGCCACAAAAAAATCGACAATCGAATATACGTAACCCGCGGAAATTCAAAATTTGGGCTACTTTTTGGACAGACCTCGTAAGATCAGCACCAACCCTGCGCAAGCGGCTCTATCTGATATCGAATTTCATACTGTCGTGTATCTCGCGTATGCAGTACCCCGCGCCATTATATCCGTATGCTGCGCAGGCCAGGGACAACGTCCATCTTTGATATAGAAGTACTACGATTCCTCAATAAATCTTTTATTCTGTATTCGTCTCGCACATTTTCACACCTGCATGCCCGACCATCTCTAACTCCCGAAATATTTGTCGCGCCTCCTGACCGCTTAGACACAACACTATGCTGACTCACCCCGCTGTGACCATGATCTTTTCTGACTAATATTGTTGTATTTGTGGCGGCAACGCAGCACCTCGATTCAAGATGGTCTTTCGCTACAGTACACGGCACTACTGTTGGACGGCGCGTACGACACGTATACTTCTAGCATAAAAGAACGCCCGCAAGTTTCTCGCGATAGAAAACGTTCGCCGCGGGAGACCTGGACAATTCGCGCTCCTGGCGCAGAGCGGTACATACACCATACCCAACTCTTCTTAGCGAAGACAAGCTTTTCCTAGTGTGAGCTCTCCAGGCAGCTCACAGGTCGCAACTTTTTCTCACAGCTGGACAGACCTTGCCTAGGTGACGATTTTCTCGGATCCTTCACCAACCTCTTGGCCGCAAGGCTGTGCAAACTCCTTACAGACCATCCTGCCTCAAGGACATCGCACCGACGAGGAGGTTACATTCATCAAGGAGGTGCAGCTTCAACGTAGACAGTACCGAGTTCGAGCAGCACCGCGCCTATCTCGTCCAGCAGCAACGCGTCTTCCGTGCACATATCTCGCCGAGCAACAGCAGCAGCACGCCTCCAGCGTGTCTTTCTAGCTGAACAGCAACGCGTTTTTAACATGCCTCTTTCGATAGCGTGTTTCTTTTGACAACACTACTTCGACGCCAAGCTCTCCGTCACGCTACTTCGACGCAGAGCTCACAGCCACTCTAGTTCAACGCCCGTACTGGGCATTCATACAGCGCGCCTTACCAGACGGAAATTTTCGGGGGCCTTAAGCGGCTCATTTCTCGAGGGTAATCCATACGCTAAGCTGATATATAAGTAGCCCGCGTAACTGCAGTAACGAAGTTGCCGTACTCCAAAAAATCAGCTGCCACCGCGGCCGAAACAGAGAGTACTATATCATAGAGCTACCGAGAGTCGAGATACATCCGACTCTCCGCCGCGCGTGGACGGTGACTCAAGAATCTAGGCATACACCACCAGGCGTCCCGTCGTACCTACGCTGAACGCTCACATTGTCGTCAATATCCTGGCACAAAAACCTGTGAATCGTTATCTTAAATAAAACATATTTTTTGTTACTCAGAAAGACTCTTCCCTGCATATTATTTTAGCGTATCCTTCTGAACGAAACTCCACTCCGCAACTGAATCATCCTACCATAAAGCTCCAAATATTGAAAACATTTTTTATCGTCTATAATGAGTTCTTGAAAAAACACTCATTTTCATTACAGTTAAGTAATAAATTGCAAGCAGAACTTCGGTCCATTAAATTTTTGTTATGAAATTGATGTGGCACACAAATATCGAGCTTTTTGATTATTACAAACTGTCGTAAATATTTCGAAAATAATGGCAGTAATATTTAGTGTCCGACCCTTCTCATAGTCAAATGTCGGTTACTATCAGTAAAGGTCTTAATTTTATTTACATCTGTGGTGACAGGCCGTCCGGCGCTAGATGCAACTTTGACATCAATTTCTTTTTTTATATCTTCAGAACCACTTTCTGCACGTCAAATCATCTAAAACATCGACTTCATATGCAGCATAAATCTTTTTTCAAGTTTACGACGTGTTTTTGCCTTCTCGGCAATAAAATCGCCAATAAAAAAAGGATAATAGATGGAGATATTCTTGACAGAAACGTTCTTGATTTTTTAACATGTTTAAAATGTTACAAGAAACGTTAGGGCTCACTGATCACGATAAAATTGTATTAAACTGATAGTTGAAATGTCACTTTTAAAGTGAAAGATTATATTTAAGCAC